GCTCAGCCTGCTTTCTTATGCAACACAGGCCCACCTGCCCAGGGGTGATACTACCTACAGTGGACTGGGGCCTCCCACATCACACAACAATCAAGAAAATACCCCACAGACATGGCCACAGGCCAGTTCATTGGAGGCAATTCCCCAATTGAGGCTCCCTCAACCCTGGTGTGTCAAGTTGACACTAAAGCTATCCAGCACACCCTAGAACATGTGAAATTGACTTTTTATGGTAAACCAGCTGTGCAGATGACTAAGCATTTTGAGATGAGCAGATTATATTGGATTTTCTGGATAAATCCTAAATGTAATCACAGTCCTTAGGTGAGAGAATTAATTGCAGGAGACAGAAGGACATTTGAAGATGCAATGTTGCTGGCTCTGAAGTAGAGGAAATAGCCATGCACCAAAGGATGTAGGCAGCAGGATCATTTATTTCTGCTCACAGTCTTTCTTCACATATTTTGACACTGCTGTCAGATGCACACATATTGAGGACTGCTGTTTCTTCTGGGAGTTTTGACCTGTTTGCCATTATAGGATGACTCTTCATTTCTTCTTTATATGAAGTCTGTTTTGTCTGGAATTAATAGTGAGTAGCCTATAATAACAAAACAATCCTAATTTCTCTGGCTCTTAAAATTTTTTTACATAAAAATAAATGTCCCTCTGAATGATCTCATTCTTAAGCACAGATAAAGTCACTCCTTCCACTTAGCCTCTTCTGATTGCTGCAGCTCAGACTGCTCCCTTGCCTTTTAAGCTCCCTTTTAGAGCTTCTTAGTCATAGTTTCTTAGATCTGCTGGAGGGCTGTGAGGTTACAAATCACAGACATGAATAGTACTTTGTCTGATTTTCCCAGTGACCCTAGCAGGAAGGGATGCCAGTTATGTTTACTGCATGCATGTGAACACTGAAGGTCAAGGCTTTTAAATGACTTGCTAGGTCAGAGGTCTTCAGCTAGTAAGAAGCAGAGACTGGAAACCCACAACCAACTTCCATGTACTTTGGAGGTAGAACTTGCCACCATATTTTAAATCCCAAAGTGCTGTGGGCAGTACAGGCATTCTAACAGCATTCTATCCAGTTCAACCTTGGTGACTAATTACTACACGGTTTGAGTCTGTGTCACATTTGGAGGCTATTTTGATAACCTCAGTAAATTTCCTTTATAGCCAATAATGTCTGGGATTTTTTTTCATAACAGTAGCTTAATAACCATGGCCAAACTGTAGTAACATTTCAATAAGACGATGGCAGAGCCACAAAAATTCTTAAGCACTGACAACAGGTTGCTTAATAAATAAAATTTAGTTTTATTACCTATCTTCATCTGACCAGATACTCTCTGATGCTTAGGGATATAAAATTTTAATCACAACTGTTTGCAGAATTAAAAAAAAAACAAAAAAACTTTTTCCTTTTCAGTCACCACTCATCAAAGAAGCTTCTTTTACAACAGAGATTACCGCAGAATTCCACAACTGGTCATATATAGAAATTGTCTGTGAATTGTCCAAGCCTAAGGTGGTACATCTACAATGCAACCTCTACACCTAAGGCTTATGGAACATAGAACAAGGGGTAAAGAGAACATTGATGCATCTCTCAATTCTCATCAATGAAGCTCCCTCATGCAACAGAGGGCCAGGAACACAGTCACAAATGGCCAAAGCATAGAGAATAAGTCTGTAGACTGTGGGTGGGTCCTTGGACAGGACTTCTATATTAAACTCCACCTACCCAGGGCTCAGGGACCATTGCAGAAGAAGGGGTGGAAAGATTCGAAGACCCAGGGAGGAGGTGCATGATCATATGGAAATAGAGTCCTACAGGCTCCTGGGACCTTGATCATATGAACCTACAGCAATGGTGTCAGCATGCACAAGACCCATGCAAATGCAAGCAGACAAAAACCCAGCACAGAACTGTGGAAATGGGCAGCAAGCCCTAAACTTAGTTGAAGAATTAATGGCAGCTGATTATTGGCTGGGTGAGGAAGAGCTGATCTTAAAAGGAGTTCATCCACTAGACCTTAGTGAATGAACTTGCACTGAGAAATGTCTGGGGATACTAACGACTCAATAGGTCTTAACACAAATGACAGAATGTATGAATTCCAGTGGGGGTGGAGGGGTATGGGAGGGTGCCAGTGGGGAAGGGGGTATAAAGATGATTAAGATGTTCTGTATGAAATACACAAAAATTCAATACAAATTTACAAAACAAATTTTTTTCCTCTGCCCTCTTAGAAGAAAAGGAACAAATGAATTCAAATAGTCTAGTGGAAAAGTGTAAACTCTGAGTTGTTAGGAAGAAGCTAGACAAATATACTTAAGACTGTCATCTTGGGGTTAGAGATGGCTCAGCAGTTAAGAGCATTGACTGGATTTGCAGAGGACCCAGTAACTCCAGTTCTAGGGGAATCTGACGCCCTCTCCTAACCTCCACAGGCACTGCATGACATGAATGTACTTACATACATGCAGGCAATATACTCATACACACAAAAATAAAAAAAATAAATAAAATACATATTAAAAAGTCATCTCTACTGACATGCCACCAATGAGTCCAACCAATAGAGAGACTTCTGGGAAGACCCCTAAGAAAGTTCTAATTTAAGAGGAAGGAAAGGAAGATGTGGCCTTAGAATCTCCATAGTAAGTAAAATAACCTCTTTATTTTGGGGTAAACCCATTGACAAAGTGTAATATATAAACTCTATTGACCTTTCTACCTGCAACTATTTTTTCATTGTGCCCTGGGCCTCCCTTGCTCTTCTAGTCCTAAGTACTTGGGTTAGGAGTGAATCAAGTGGGACTCAAGTGTGAGTTGATGACGATAATGATGGCAATCCCAGGTAAAGCAGTTTTCAAGTGATAACTGTTCCCTAGGCCTGTTTACACAGCTCGAGAGCAAATACACAGGTAATGGTTCTGGGATAGAAATTAGTGGCAGGCCTTGGGTCACACACTTGACGAGTTTTATGTCATTTGGAGACGTCAGTATATAACACTAGGAGTATTAACTTTCCTCACAATTAAAGTCTAGGATTAGTATTAGACTGCGTCAGATTTCCGATGACCTCCGCCCTTGCTTCTCCACACCCCTTTATTTGAGTACTACCGGCAAGCACCAGATTAGAATTCGAGGCCAGGAATTTCCGGCAGGCAGGCAACTAGGAGCACTCCTGCCGGCTGAGACCTCCGCACTCACCCAGCAGCAAGGACAGGCTGGGCACCCACAGGAACCCCCAACCCAAGGCGTGTTCTGCTGCGCTGAGCCCAGTTACCGCGCAACTCGCACACCAAGCTCCGCGCGACCCGGTCCCCCGCGCCTCTGCGCGCTTCCAGTTTCTCTCCCCGCGCCTCCCTCTCCCCTCGGCTCCCCAGCGCCTCCCCGCGCCTCACCCCAGGTCTCCGGAGCGAGCAGCAGCAGAACGCCGACCAGGACAACTCCGCGGCGGTGGGCAACCAGCTCGCCTACGGTCTCCACAAGCCCAGCGGTCCTCACAGGCCCGGATGTCCTCAGAAAAGGGGGTCCCATTCTGTACACACCGGTCTCAAGAAAGGGCAAGGGCGGAGTGAAGTCCCAGCCCTGCTCCCAGGGTACGGGAAATGGCGCTAGGTTCCGGAATAAAGATTGACCACAGCTTCCCGTTACAGGGCGGGGTCTTGTTTACTCTCGCAACCGAAGGCTGCTATCTAGTTTCTCCTATGAGAGCGCCTCCAGAGCCCAGGTGCTGGATCAGAGTGGAACAAGTCAGCTCCATGATGTTTTCCACTTGTGACTGGGGTGCTAAACGAAAGCGAGGAATTGTGGGAGCTGGGTTTGCATACACTCCTGCTTGACTCCGGTTTTAAAGGCGCGGACGGAGCAGCTAATGTCAGCTCACTGTTTAAAGGACAGTTGCCCTGTGTAGTGTACAGGGAATAGGACCTGATCTTATGGTGAATTCAGATATATGCCACTGAAAGATTTTTATTAAAGGATTGAGTTAATCAGCTTTACATTTTATGAATACAATCCTGTGCACACTATGGAACCTACATTAGAATAGCGCTTATTGCTTTTATGAGTCCAGTTAGCCGGCCTTGCCATTATCCAAGTGAGACTTGATGGGAGATGAACAATTAACAAACTGGAAAGGGAATAAATAGGGTTGGCACTAGATTTTACTTAGTTCCTTTCTTACTTTTTTATATTTTTTAATTATTTTTGTTATACGTGTATGAGTGTATTGCCTGGATGTATGTGAGTGCACCCCTGTCGTCCAAAGTCGCGGAGGTCAGAAGAAGGCTTCAGATGGAACTGGAGTTAAGGACGGTTCGTAGCCGGCTCGTGGGTGCTGGGAATTGAACCCGGTTCCTCTGCAAGAGCAGAGCTCTTTATGGCTGAGCCATCTCTCCAGCACCACCTAGTTCCTTTCTTAAAATTGATGCCTCAAAAAAAAAAAAAAATCAATAGCCCCAAGATTAGATATAGATGTTGCTGCTGCTTATTGAAATAAAAAATATAAAGGGAAGCTGTTAGTTTCCTGGCAGGCTCCTAAAATGGCTGGGCAGATGCTTAAAACAGGTGGGTTCGAATTTAGCCCCAGGCAAGTCTCCCTGCTTACTAGGGGACCAACCAATCCTGAGCTGAACTGCCCAGACTACACCAGGGAAAGTTACCCAATCACCTGAGGGCGCCTGCTCACTGCTGTTTCTCCCTGCAGTTTCCCTGTTCCCCAGAGAGGGAGCCCAGCAGTCTGTTGCCATGTCCTCTTCCATACATATGGTGCTCAAAACATGGGAGAGGAATGACCCGGTTACTTATGACCTGTATTATAGTCTGAAAACTGCCAAGAATTCAGCCACAAGGTTGAAGTTGAGGTAAGAAGGATTTTCTTAACAGCTGGGCTGTCCTTGCACTCAGGGAGGGAGTACAGAGAGCAGCCCCAAAGGGAGTCTGCAAGGACTTTTTATACATACTCAGATATTTTGCAAAAGTGGGAACACAAGGGACCAATCATCATGGTTCTAACTCAAGCACATATTTGCATAAGTCAGTAAAAGTTTAAAATTACTATTGACTCCCCCCCCCCCCCCCCCCCCAGCAAACAAGCAAACATGGACAGAAGCAGATAGGCATTAGGCAACAGCTTATCTCACCCAGACACGTGGCAGCATCTAAGAATTTCTGGTCCCTATAGGGTGGAGGCAATTTTGGGGAAACTAGAAAATAACTAGGCCAGGTCACATAGGATGGTTACAGGGATGTCTTTTAGTCAAATATCTGCTATGTTCCCCACTCCTGTTGGAGAATAATCAAACCTTTGATATTTCATCATCTTTTACTGATTCAGTTTGGAGGGAGTTGTATTGATTCTGTAACACCATGAGTTTTATTGAATTGAGCCATTGAGCAACAAACCCAACTAAGGCATTTAACAAATAAGGTCCACAGGCGATTAGGATTAAAAGAGGCCTGCCATTGCACTTAGGAGGGTAGTGAGCCATGGGGACCAAGAAAGTAGAGATTCATACCAATTTTGGCTATCTAGTGACTATCTCTCTCTCTCTCTCTCTCTCTCTCTCTCTCTCTCTCTCTCAGCCTTTGTTTAGCCAGACACAGGCTTTCTCTATTGATTCCATTATGATTAGCATAGAAACAGCACTGTTCATCTAAAGCCATGCATAGACCTCCCTATTGTCTTTAGACTGTATGACTGGGGTTAGGGAATTTAGCTCAGTGGTAGAGCACTTGCCTAGCAAGCACAAAGTCCTGGGTTTGGTCCTCAGCTCCAAGGGGGGGGGGGGCAAAATAACAAAAAAGACCAAATAAATAAATAAATAAATAAAAATAAATAAATAAATAAATAAATAAGGCGGCTAGATGCCATGACTGAGGCACATGATCTGGATGAGCCTCTTTGACTTGGGAGCAGTGAATTCAGTGACTGCATCCAGCTACCTTCACCACTGAAGATATAACCAGAATGATGGTATGGTCTGTCCCAACAAGTCTCAAAGTCTGGAGTGGAGTGGCATCACACCCAGACCCAGTCCCCAGGTCCCAATCTGGTCTGGATGGTTCCTGAGATGTGGCTGCCTCAGTTCGTGTTTCCTGGACAAGATTGTGGATGGAGGGAAGCATATGCTACAATTCCTGTAGGGACTTGAGAAGATTATGGCTAGAAGCTTCAGTTACATATTCCAGTCCTAACTTGGGAATTAGGGGAAGGGGCCTCCCATACATGATCTCAAATGGAATAATTCCCTTTAAATAAGGAGTACACCTTACTCTTAACAAAGGGAAGGAGACTTACCCAGTTTTCTCCAGTCTCTGAGATTAGTTTAGTCAAAGTTTCCTTAAGGGTTCTGTTCATTCTTTCTACCTGTCCTGAACTCTGAGGGTGATAAACACAGTGTAGCTTCCCATCAATTTGTAAGTTTTTGCAATAGTTTTTGATATTTGAACTATAAAAGCCTGGCCATTATCAGATCCCAGACTGATAGGGATGCCAAATCTTGGTACCAGATCATTTAGTAATTTTTTAACTATCTGGGCTGTCTCTGTTCCGGTAGGAAAAGCCTCTGCCCATCCGGAGAAGGTATCCACCAGGACCAAGAGGCAATGATAGCCATGCTGGGGGTTTGAACCAGCGACCCCCGGCACAGTGATGATTGGGGATGAGTAAGTATGCCGTTCACCAGCCCACGCTGCCCTCAATACCTGGGGACACTCAGATGCAATGGGGAGTCTAGTCAGGCAGGGACTCATTTATTACAGGTATTACAGAGCTTTTAAAGGCACCTGGAACTCCCCCTCGAGGGTGTAACTTAAGGATGGTCATGCGCTGATCATGCACTCTTTAGCAGTGTGGAAATATTCTTCAGACTTTCAAAGCAAGCCAGGCCACACCCCCAGTAACTTCCTTTCAGACCTATACAAGGTGGTGCCTTTAGGTCCCCACATATCCCCATTTTTATTTTTATTTTAAGGCTGGACTGACTTTATTTCACTGGTTACCCACCTCATAGGCAGCTCCCTGAGGAGAGATGGCTATCTCCTTCCTCTAATCTTATGCATTTTTGCCTGTCTTAGGTTGTGTCACCTCTGACCAAGCCTTGCCCGTCATTGGATCATGCACCTGGCCATGTGCATGTCCTGTCTTAGGAGTACTTGTCATGGGACATCTTACCCATCTTTGGCTAAAAATGCGTCGTGATTAAGGGCAGCTGCATGGGTAATGCCAGCCCATGACAGTCTTAGTCTCTGCCTAACTTGGTTAGCCAAGCGTGGGCAATCGGAGGGGGTCCTGGGGGAGTCCGTAATCATGAGGAGGTGGGCCGTGGCAGTTCCAAGGGTTCTCTGTCGCTGAATTATTTGGTAAAGACACTTAAAGATAAGCATTATCAAGAGAAACAAAGCAAGTCATGGTGTAGGACACATTGAAATACTTCTGGGACCATGTACCTTTTAGCCAATCAGCCAGTTGTCAAAGAGGCTGACTGGCAATGAAGTCAAGGAACTGGGTCTTTCACCTCAGATGGATATAAAGAAAAAGTGGAATTTTGTCTTATGAACTATTGTCCATGGACAGTCATGCTAGTCAGTTGGATCCTGGCCTACCCACTTAAGGTTTTTCACAGGCACCCATATGGGGTTTGAATCTCCTGTAGGGTAGACACAGCAAAAGGCTCGACCCATGGTTAGCAATGGATCTGGGCCTTTCCATTGTCCTGTAATGGGGTCCTTCCACCTTACCTGTACCTCAGGTCTCTGCTCCTGTCATCCCCAATGCTTCTGAAACCGGGATTCCAACTGATTTTTTTGAAAATTAAGAACATTAATAGTGAATAAGGCCATACTCAACTGTTGGTGGGGGCTTATTCCCCCTTTTTGTTTTTGTAGTTGTATTTTTAGGTTTTGATGGTTGCAAAGCACTGGAGAAAATGAGACTGATCATGTTTAGACTTCTCTCCTGTATGAGTGGTAGTCCAACAGGCATGTGAGGATGTGTCAATGGACACGAAGATGTACAGAAGCTTTCCAAAAGGAGCATAGTGTGTGACATCCATCTGCCACAAGGAATTGGGCTTGAGTCCCCTGGGGTTTACCCCTGGCTGTTGCAGAGGCGGTACCTGTACACAATAAGCCATCTTGTCTGCCTCTGCATTGCCTTGGGATAAAAGCCCAGGCAATCCTTGGTGCCCCCTAAGATGCTGTAAAAAGATAGGAGCTTCTCTCTCTTTAAGGAGTGTACAGGTCTGAATACAGTCAGAAAACAATGGCCATGAGTTCCTTGAATTAAGCTGCTTTTTGGTTTTGATGGGAACTTGAGGAAACCTCTTATGGAGTCCCCGCCAATTTACATGAGTGTAGTTATATAACCCCTTGGCTTCATTCAGGCCTGCTGACAGGACCTTGGTGGAAGCCATCTTGTCTGCCTCTGCATTGCCTTGGGATAAAAGCCCAGGCAATCCTTGGTGCCCCCTAAGATGCTGTAAAAAGATAGGAGCTTCTCTCTCTTTAAGGAGTGTACAGGTCTGAATACAGTCAGAAAACAATGGCCATGAGTTCCTTGAATTAAGCTGCTTTTTGGTTTTTCCACATCTGCCCTAGTCAGTGAAAACATTGTAGGCTTTACTAAGGACTCCCTCGGCCCGGGATTCAGTGAGTGCTGCTGCCTGTGGGGCTGTAGCACTGGGGGGTGGGGTGGTTCCCTGGCCACCAGCAGAACTGAAGGGGCAGGGCCCCTTCCCAAGCCACCTTTCCTGAACTAGGCCTTTTCAGCTGTCCCAGAGCCGGTTG